CGGCCCGCGCGCTCGCACGCGCTGCCGGCATCCGTGGGGCCGCAGCTTCCCACCCCTGCAGACCCCTGCAGACCCCTCCGGTGCTGTCCCTGCACCCGTGACCTTGTCTCCTGGGGGCTGTCCCTGCTTGGGTGACCTTGTCCCGCCAGGTGACCTCCTGGCACAGGTGACTGTGTCCTCCGGATGCCTTCTGCACGCTGGGCAACCTTGTCCCCCGGTGCAGTCCCTGCACCTTTAACCGTGTGCCCTGGCTGCAGCCCTCCCCAGTGACCTTGTCCCGAGTGCCATCCTTGCACCTGCGACCTAATTCGCTGCACGGGGCAACCTTGTCCCCCAGGTGCGTCCCCACATGGGACAACCGTGTCCCCTGGGTGCTGTCCCTGCACTGGGCGATCTTGTTCCCCGAGCGCCATCCTTGCACCTGCGACCCTGTGCCCTGGGTGCCATCCCTGCACCTGTGACCTGTTCCCCTGGGTGCTGTCCCTACATGGGGTGACCTTGTCTCTGGGTGCTGTCCCTGCCTGGCATCGCAGCTGCTGCCTCGGTGGCTGCTCGTGCTCCGGGCTCTGCCGCGGTGTCCGGCTAACGTGACACCCCCGATGCCACCATGCGCTGCAGCGATGGCTCGTGGTGGCGGCTGGGCACCTCTGTGGGGACCGGAGAGGGACCATGGGGGCTCTGCCGCTGCATCCCGGGCAGCCGTCCCTTCCATCCTCATCCATCCGGGGCTCTGTCACTGCATCCTGGGCAGCTGTCCCTTCTGTCCCCATCCATCTGGGGCTCTGCTGCCACATCCCGAGCAGCCGTCCCCTCTGTCCCCATCCACTGGGGGCTCTGTCACTGCATCCTGGGTAGCTGTCCGTTCTGTCCCCATCCATCCGGGGCTCTGCTGCTGCATCCCGGGCAGCCGTCCCTTCCGTTCCCATCCATCCTGGACTCCGTCGCTGCATCCCAGGTAGCCGTTCCCTCTGTCCCCATCCACTGGGGGCTCTGCTGCCGCATCTCAGGCAGTTATCCCCTCCATCCCCATCCATCCTGGGCTCTGCCGCTGCATCCCGGGCAGCCGTCCCCTCCATCCCCATCCATCCTGGGCTCTGCCGCTGCATCCCGGGTAGCCATCCCCTCCATCCCCATCCATCTGGGGCTCTGCCGCTGCATCCCAGGCAGTTATCCCCTCCATCCCCATCCATCCGGGGCTCTGCTGCTGCATCCCAGGCAGCCGTCCCCTCCGTCCCCATCCATCCGGGGCTCTGCCACTGCATCCCTGCATCCAACGGCTGCACCAGGGCCTCTGCTGCCAAAAACGGAGCTGCTGGAATTGCTTCCAGAAATCCCCCCCTCCTTCCCTGCATCCCCCCTCGCTGCCAAGGAAGCACCGGAGGGACAAGAAGAAATATCACCGTGGCGCCGGCTGCTTCCTGCGCCGCGGCCCCGCACGACCGGCTCGCCCGCGCTCGGCGCGGTGCTCAGCGCGTTAGTGCTGGGGCCGGGCGGCCGCTAACCACATTTGAATTCCCAGGGCCCTCGAGATGGATGGGGT